TTCCCTGTGTCCATTTGTCCAGTTCCTGTCCCTTCCTGCCTTCTCATCCTGCTTTTGGACAGGAGCTGCCCATTTATTCTCATATATTTGATTGAACTAAGAAGCATGTTCCTCACGCGCGCTATTTTTTGTTTTATGGGCCTGTCTAATCTTTGTCTGAAAAGTGGGCTTCAGGAGTGTTTCAGTTCTGGGTTAGCAGAGTGTCCAGGAGCCATAGTTTCAACAGTTCCTCCAGTCTCTGTCAGATCAGTAAGTCTGGTCTTTTTACGTGAATTTGAATTCTGTTCTACATTTTTCTCCTGCTCTGTCTAGGACTCTCTGTTGTCATCCCTGTCAGAGCGGTCGTTGGTGGCTAGTATTTTTCTTGTGTTTTTGTTTTTCTTTGTTCTCCTTTGCTCCAGGTGGGAAGGGACCAATAGATGTATCTTAGATGGCTGCTCACAGGCTTTTAAGACCCCAGATGCTACTCACCAAAGTGGGATGTAGAACATGATCTTTATAAACTTTGTTATGCCAATTCATCTTCAATTCTTAATTGATCTATCAGTAGCACCAGAACTATTGATTACTCCTTATTCCCTGAAACATTTTCTTTATTTGCTGTCCAGGACTACATCTTACAGTATGCTTCTTCTCATGCTCCCTCACTGGTTCTTCCTCATCTTCCTGACCTCACCTTCATGGAACATATGTTACAGCTTTTGCCTCACCCATTTGAGGAATTTTCTTAAATGTTGATAACAAATTCCATTTTTGTTTTCCTCACTCATAAACTCCAATTTTTATTCATTGTCTTTGACCATTGATTTTTATAGCATTCTCATGATGTAGGTAGAAGCATATGTTAAACAATAAATGGTTGGGTTGTAAAAGTTTAAACATTTACCACATATTATAATTTGTGACTCTGATATATAGAGTAGTATCTACACCAAACTATACAATATAGACCCTACTCTCCTTTCCACTCTTATGTTTGTCTTTATGAAACTAGAGAAAGGGTTAAAGAATAAAACAGTAGGTGAGAAACTTACTCCTTGATGGACAATCAGAAAAAGGCCTTAGAACTCATTCAAAGTACCTAACTGATAGCTCAGTGGGAGGCAAGGCTTCCCTTAAATGTTTAGAGAAACTTAGGGAATCACACGCTCTGGTTTAAGTCATGCTAAAATATTTGTTATGCCATAGACAGTAGGGCTAATGTTGTACAAAAGCAGCAAAAGATCTGGGTTCAAGTCCTACCTACACACTTACTGATTATATGATCTTAAATATGCTATAGATATTGATATGGATATACTCATACATATATATATCCTGGGCAAATTTATTATTATTATACATTTTTAGGGAGAATCTGTATGGAACCTACTACACTTAAAAAATAATTGAGAATTTCTAAGATGGAATGATTTACACATTTTGTTTAACCATCACATTTTTAATAAGTGAAGAAACTGAGGCACAGCAAGGTCAAGAGACTTGCACATAGTCATCTTTGAGTTAGTAGTGGATCTGTCACTAGAACACAACCATTGTCCTTACATGAGCCTTCCAGGGTTCTGTATGCTCCTGAGCTCCTTCAGTCCTCAGGATTTCCCTTGCTCTTTCACCTCTGACCTTTGCATATTTGTTTGCCTAAAGCATCTTTCTTCCCTCACTCTTCCTATGCGAATCTCTATTGCCCAAATCCTCTGGATCCTCTGGATCTTGGTTTAGATGTTACTTCTTCCATGAAGCCTTCCTCGGCACCTCAAATCCAGGTCAGAAGTCCCCTCCTCCAAGTGCTTTCATAGGTCTGTCATGGTACTTAGCACTGAATTATGATTGCCTCTTTATTCATCTTTACCCACACTAGACTACAAGCTCTGTTGAGGGGAAATGAAATATTTGTCCTTTGCTTTCTTCCAAAATGAGCCCAGTGGCTCAATATTTGTTTAATAAACCCAATAAATGAAGAACGCTAGAAGAACCAGGTTGTCTTCCTATGCCCTCCCTGCTGGATCCCTGATGCCCCCACCCCACCCAGACAGGCTCAGCTCTCAACCAAGCACAGAGGAAGGAGGTCAGCAGTCTCAGCATTAACATCTCCAGGGATGGGTATGGAACGACTCCTGGTACCCCAGACCTCTCTCTGAAAAGCTGGGACACCTATGTACTCTGCATCCAGAAGATTTCCTTCACCTCATCAGGTAGCTCAGCCTCTTCAGTTGGGGCTTTTGTCTCATTTTCTCTGTCTAGAACTCTGGTCTGATGTAGGGGCTGAAACCCTTCCCCAAATCCAGCCCACATGACTGGTTCATACACAAGGCCTGGCACTGGCTAGCCCATCCCCGGGAGGTGAACCCCGCCTCCTGAACTCTCCCAGCTCTCAACTGGGACCCACCTGTGAGTGGGCTGGAATGGAAGCAAGATGCTGCTTCCCGTCTGCCTAGCTTGGATTCTCATGGATGAACCACCACTCCTTGGAATGCTCTGCTGGGGTACTGACACCTGCCTGAAGCAAGGCCAAATTCCATGTGCACTGGGACACTGTGCTTCAGATTGCTGGCTGTTCCATTATGGGAAAGATCTGGAGTCGGGCCAGCTTCTCTGCCCGTCTCAGCCCCCTCCTCCTCCCCAATGGCCTTGGTTGCGGCATGCAACCAGGCTTGCCCAGCACTGTTCTCCTTTACCTTATCTCCAGACCTTCTGGATCCTTGGCACTCACGTTGCCCAGTTTGGTGCCTATTTTTGCATTCTCATAGACTTTTGCTTGGAATACTTGTTGGGAAAATATGGGTGGTTCATTCACATCTGTCACAGTAAGCTTGAATGTGGCAAAAGAACTTGAATTGTACTCTATACCAGACACCAGAGGCTCAGGATTTTCTGCCTTGAACACAATGTTGTGAACAGGTGTTGTTTCAAAATCAAGAGGCTGTGTACAAAAAAAAAGAGGGAAAATGAATTTCTTAGATGATTAGCTCCTTTAAAAGATTCTTTCCCTACTTTTTTAAAAGCTCTCATACAGAGCAACAGTTCTCAATCCTGTGTCAGCAAAAACCTGCTTGTTGGAATAATAGTAATAGAGCCATGAAGAGGGTCTTCACTGTAGGACTTGCCAGAGCTTTTAATATGCTAACGTGCTTTGTGACTCTCCAAGAAGAGGAAGCAGGATGTAGTACTCTTCATATTTACTTAGTAGTGGGACATGTCATTCATTCATTCCTTCAGCAGAAATTTATTGAGCCCCTGCAATATGACAGGCACTTACTAAGATGCTGGGAATAACGTTTAGGTATATTATTGAGGAGTCCCTGCGTGGCACAAAAGGTTAATGCGCTCAGCTGCTAACCAAAAGGCTAGAAGTCTGAGTTTACCCAAAGGCCTCTCGGAAGAAAGGTCTAGTAATCTACTTCCGAAAATTGAAAACCGTATGGAACACAGTTCTACTCTAACACATATGGGGTTGCCATGAGTCAGAATCGACTTGATGGCAACTCGTTTTTTATTAGTGAGCAACGGAGATTTAGCCTCTTTTTTCCTGGCACACCAGTAGACATAACCCTGATTAGGATTCTCCCCAGATAGTTCTCTGAAGACAGTTTGGAAAATGCTGATATAGAGATTTCCACATTATATGGAGAATGATTTCCTAGGGATCTAGAACCTAGGCCACATACTCAAAAAAAAAAAGACTTTAAATTCATAGAGAAGATGGAAGAGGAGGTGAGCAGAGACAGAAAAAGGAGAAATGATCTGCTCTTGTTCCAGACCATGCTGGACAGAACCAGGAATGAAAATCAAAAAGCCAATGTTGGTTTAGTATGAGGAAGAATGTAACAGTTAGGGCTACCCAGGATGGAAGGAGTTGCCTCAAAAAGCAATACATTCCCAACTTGGGAAGTCTGCAACATAGGCTTAAAGAACACATGACCAGCTAGCGTAGAATGGATTTAAATGTCATCTAAGTAGTTGGTTTTACCTGACTTTTAAGATCCTGCCCAAGTCATAGAGTCCATGATTCTTGTGGGGGAAAAGCCCTAATCACAAAGACCTCCTGAATAGTGGAACAGCCCCTACAGAGGGGCTTCCTGTTGTTGTTGGGTGCCGTCGAGTCGATTCCAACTCCTAGTGACCCCATGTGACAGAGTAGAACTGCCTCGTTGGGTTTTCTCGGTTGTCATCTTTACTGCAGCAGACTGCCAGATCTTTCTCCCGAGGAGCCGCTGGGTGGGTTTGAACCACCAACCTTTTGGTTAGTAGCTGAACACTTAACTGTCTGGACTCCTAACCGGGATCAAAGGGCTTTGGTGGCGGGGGAGGGGGGGGTCTGTGAACCCCTGGGAACTAAAATCTAATATTGTGCATACATGCATATGTAAATTTTTTTCTAGGGAGAAGGCATATAGCTTTTGAGAGATTCTCAAAGGGAACCAGGATCTCAAAAAGATGAAGGAACTAAAGCAAAGCCCAAAAGGTATATTATGGATGATGGAAACTAAACTATTTTATTCACTCTTCCAAGCAAGAGGACCTGGGACCTCTCGGCAAGCTCAGTCAATCCTTTATATTGGTTTCCTCATCTGCTGAACAAAGATGATAATATCCATTTGTGAGGAGAAAAGTTGATCCCTGATAGCCTTGGCTCGACCTGCCCTTCTCCCCATCTGAAGAAGTTCTCCCCTCAATGCCATCCTCCCTATATCAGCTTCCCTGATGCCTACTCTCTACCCCCACATGGACAAACTCCACAACTTCTGTAATCTGGTAGTGCCTAGACCAGTATTTTCAGTGTTTGGTTACCTATTTTACATACTCACTGACTATAAGCTCCCTGAGAGGAGGAACTGCACCACATTCATCTTCGCTTCTCACCTCTCCCCTGACGTGCAGTGCCCAGACCTTGTTGGTCAGAATACATAAAGATGAGAAGGACTTAACCTTGAGGGCTACAGTGGAGAAGAGATTCTGGAGAAAACCCTCTCAACAGAAACCCCTCTCCCCAGGAGCCCCTCTCCCCAGTGCACACACAAATACACACAAAATCATGACCCAATCTCTAGTTCATAGGTACTATGGAAAGATTGTTCACAGAGAATCATATACAAAGAAGACTCAAGGTCATTTGAATTAGAAAATAAGAAACATTTGACATTGGTTGAAATATGCAGGACATAAAATATAAAATCTTCTTTGTAAGCCAGCTAAGATGTGAAAGGAGAGGTTTCCATAGAGATATACACTGTCTGCAGGACGTGGCCCTCAGATGACCCTTTGATTATTACCACATGGTCTGATAGGGCTCCTTACCTGGGAAGGGGGCCCAAGCTGGAGCTTATGCCTCTCAGGGACCCACTGCTTATCTCAGATGATGACAACGGTGGTGTCAACTTGAGACAAAAGCCTGGCAGACAGAGCAGGAAGGCAGCAGCCCCCAGAACAAGCCTGTGACCTGGACAAAGGATGTGGCTCTATCTTTCAGTCTGTCCAGCCAAGCCAAGGCTCAAAGGCAGCAGAGTTGTCTGTATACTTAGGCAGTGGAGGTCTCACACTCTATTCTCACCACCAAAGGGGTCCTAAGTACCCTCCTATGCTTTCCCTTCCCCTGGCTGTGGCCCTTAGTGGAGAAGGGTGTAGGGATGATGCTTTCTAACCTTACGGCCATGTCTGGCTCCATCTCCATCTCCTTGACAAGAGACGGTGGTCAGGTTTAGTTACCAGAGTGAGAACTAAGACGAAAACATATAGACGACTCCGCGGAGATCCTCATCTCTGCCCCCACTGCGAGTCTAGCCCTCAGGGAGTAGATGGAGACAGAAGGGTGTTTAAGGCAGCCAGAGAGCATGAGCAAGCCCTGGGGTAAGGAAATGAGACAGTGTGTGTTCAAACGAGAAGCAGCTTGCTTTACCAGAACTGAACATGTTGGGGAGAGGAGATGGAGATGGGAGAAGACTGTGTATGCCAAGCTAAGGAGTTTGGACTTTATCCTTGACGAGCAGAGAAAGTTGTTTAAGTACAAGACTGGCAAGGTTGGATTTGTGTTTTAGGAAGATAGCTCTGCCATGTGAAGGCTGGATTTGAGGAGATGTGGACCAGGGCAGGGAGACCAGTTAGAAGTGTGTGTCAGTGCTTGTCAAACATTACCTGACCGGAAAAAAAAAAAAAAAAACAAGCCTGTTGCAATCAAGTCAATTCCAGCTCATGGTAACCCCATGTGTTACAGAATAGAACTGCTCCATAGGACTGCTTCTTGACTGTAATCTTTACGGAAGCGGATCACCAGGGCTTTTTTCTGCGATACTGCTGGGTGAGTTCTAACCGCCAACCTTTAGGTTAGTAGTCAAGTGCAAACCATTTGTGCCACCCAGGGACTTTATTGAATGGAAGAACAACTGAAAAAAAAGAGCAGCCTGCAATTGATCAGTCTGTCCACTCCCACACCTGGAAAAACACTGAACCAAATCTTCCAAGGAAAGAACTAGAAGTGGAGGATGCTAAATTAGTAGGTGATAATCTGCAGAGCTTAATCAGGGAGAAGACTTGTCAAGCCATGTGCGTCTTCTTCCCTGAGTCAGGGATGCACCTGCAAAGCCAAGTCAAGAGAGCCATCTCGGGCTCTCAGGACCACCTTGGGTCCTGTCTGATGACAAATATTCATCAAATAAACTGAAAAAAAAAAAAAAGTTTGTGCCGCAATTCCTTTTATGCACACAGCTGCTTGAAAGGTCAACCCAAGTGATTTAGATTCCACCTGGAGGCAGAGATAAAGTGCTAAGGGAATGGGTTGAGACTTGGGGATATTTAACATTTTCACCAATGATCAGGAATGAGGAAAAAGTGTACACGTTCTTTTTTCAGATTACTCACGGGCTGTTTGAAAACAAGTCATGAACTGAGAGCGCAAAAGGACCAGCTCTACCGGCGCAGCAACAAATTTTTTTTAAATTAAAAAAGAATGAAACTGTGAGTATTAAACTCAGTGGTGGCAGGAAAGGAGGTCCCAGGAGGGTTACAGGTGAGCCAGGCAGGCCTCAATAAAATAGCCTTCCTGCTCCTGACATCCCCGCAGCCCCGGGGGTATGAGGATCTATCTACCACAGCACAGGTCAGAGCTCTGGGCAGCAGTAATATCGACTATGGCAGCATATCTGAAACATATTCAAACCTAAACATCAGTAGGAATCCCTGGGTGGTGTGAACTGTTAATGCGCTTGGTTGCTAACTGAAAGGTTTTTGATTTGAGTCCACCCAGAAGCACCTCAGAAGAAAGTCCTGGAGATCTACTTTCAAAAAACATCAGCCATTGAAAACCCTATGGAGCACAGTTCTACTCTGATATACATGGGGTCACTATGAGTCGGAGTCGACTCCACAGCACCTGGTGACTGGTGAAATATGACCTGGGGCATGTGTTAAAATCACTCAGAGAGATCCTGAGTCAGCTATACCACTTGTGCACCGTCTGACCCCTGGATTTGGCAAGTTTGGCCCCCTTAGGCAATAGGTGAAAGCACATTGGTCCCAGAGGCAGAAAGCCTGGCTTCTAGCCCTTTCTTTAATCAGAATTAAGATAATGCCTAACATTTATTGAGTTTTACTATCTGCAACAAGGGGCTCAAGCATAGCAACCGTTGTGGGGATGGCGCAGGACTGGGTAGTGTTTCGTTCTGTTGTACATAGGGCCGCTATGAGTTGGAACCGACTCAATGGCACCTACCAACAACAGCAACAACAATCTGCTGGATGCGGTATTAAGAGCTGTGTATGTATTTTTGCGTTTACAAAAATGCAAATTGCTCTGTTGACTTGGCTTAGAAGGTGAATCCCCACCTCAGGGATGAAGATGCACATGGTTTGACAAGGCTTGTTCTTGATTAAGCTCTGTGGATTATCATCTACTTTTAATCATCTACATTCAATCCCCCAATATCTCTTCATCTTTTAACAAGGTGCTACCATTTTACTCATCTTTTACAGATCAAAAAACTGAGGCCTGAGAGGTTACATCATTTGTCCAAGGTCATAGAAGCCGTAAGCGGCACCACCAGCCTTGAGAGGAGTCAGAGCTGGAGTCAAGTTCCCAGCTCTGACGTTGCCTCCTTGTGGGCCTGAGCCTCTTCTGTACAGCAGGGCTACTTTCTGCTGCGCCTCCCTCAGACTATGTGTGAGATGCAAAGGGCAGCGTCCGCAGAAAATGTTCGTGAAATGCAATGGGCTGAGGTTATGTGGCACGGGTTCCTCAGTGAATTTTACCTGAGGTTAGCAAATCTGCAGTTTGGATGAACAGCTGCTGATAGGGTGGTGATTGAGAAACTTAATTTAAATTCTTAAAATTATTGATTGACAGATGGTTTCAAAGCAATGACAGTCCCCTGCTGGCTTAAAGGGCAGAGCCTTAGAAGTAAGGTTAAGTTATACACAAGAGACCACATTATAGTCTATAATTTATTTAAAACACTTCAATAAAAACAGCACAAATACATACATCTGTCGTAGTTTTAGTCTACATCCTATGGGCAGCTGGCTAACATTTGGTGTACTCTGATCCAGAATTCAAGGAGACTTAATGGCACAATGGTTAAGCGCCCGGCTGCTAACCAAAAAAAATGTCGGCCGTTCGAACCCACCAGCAGCTCTGCAGGAGAAAGACCTGGTGATCTGCTCTTGTAAAGATTACAACCTAGGAACCCCTATGGAGCAGTTCTGTTCTGTCATATAGGGTCGCTATGAGTTGGAATTAACTCCATGGCTCACAACGACAACAAAAATCCAGTTCCGCACCTCAAGGTGGACGGATGTTTAGTATTTGTAAGGTTCTAATCAGGGGTCTACACCCCAGAGGTAACTACCGCAGGTCTTCAGCTAGTACTATCTCAATCAGCACTAGAGGGTTTGTTAATTAGCAAAATGACCTTGAAAAACAGTTTTTCTGGGTGACATAAGTGGTGTTCGAGATATGTAGTTTGGTAAAAATATAGACTCTCTCTCTTGGCCGTTGCATGAAGGGGTATATAAGCATCCGGCTAGCTCAGCAATCTATGCCATTCAGAATTCCAGAGCTCCAGATTCTGTCTAAGATCACCTCACTTTAGAGGGTTGGATAAATCCTCTCAATAGAATATTGTTATCACAGAACCTGAGAGACAGAGAGCTGAGACTTACATGGGTCTAAAGAATAGGTGGGATGATTGTTTTGTGCGTGTGTGTCTGCTTGTTAATAATTGTACATGGGACAGAATTCAATTATTTATCCAGTCAACCAATATTGAACCTCTCTTATGTGTCAGGCAAGATTCTAGACACTTGGAAAACAATCATGTACAAAATAAGGATCTGACAAAGAGGCCTGCTCTATTGTAATAACCTCCTGGTATCAAGATTGTGTGGGAGGATACCTGTAGCCCTCACCTACCGCTAATCACTGGGCTACCAACATCTCTCCAAAAGAAGCCACATATGGCCAGATTAGTTTAGGTGAGTCCACAACAAGCCGCTAAATATTGACATTTAGGGTGTCGTTCACACTGGGATGGCCTCTGTTTTACCTTAGGTCCCTTGAGAGCTCTGGTCTTAGGAGAGGATAGGAGACAAACTGCCTCCCTTTCCTCCCTGCCCCTATTCCACAAAAGGATCGTGCGTGCCCGTATGCTGCCTGGGCCACCCACTGCAAACTCTGAAAACAGCCCTTTCCTTTGCCCTTTGTTTCTGGGCTCCTTTCCCTGCCATGAGCTGAGGGCAAAGTTGTAATGGCCCCTTCCCCAAATGCCAGACTCACACACAATGCTAATGGCTTGAATTGGCCCACCACTAGCCCCCAGTGGGAACAGGCTGGGATCCTCTGGCCACTAAAACTTAGTGAGGCTCTTCCTCAAGGTAATATGGTAACAACGAGATCAGAATTCTGAGACTCTGCCCCAGGGCTTGCTTTAACACTAGTACTTTTCTCCTTTTTCTCTGGCGTTATTCTGTTTTGTCTTCATTTTTAACCACTACTTTCAGCATTCCTTCATTCCAGCTCAAAACTGTCCTCCAGAGTCTTCTCTCGAAGCCTCCAGCACACTGTGCTGCAAAGCTTTGGCAGTAACCACATTTACAGACCCTCCATTGCTGTCACTTTGACCCTCTTTTTCAGGGGAGACTTCACTCTGTGCCCTAGGAAAGTATTTTAATTCTAAGCATATTGGATGAGATTGAGTGCTGCTTTCCATTGAGTCATCTGGTAGACCCTCTGCATGTCCAAAAGCACAGATGAGGCAGCCATAGAGAAAAGGGTCAAGAATTCAGATGTACATGGCAGGGAAATGGGAGTAGATGAAGGTATTAGGAGGAACCTGTATAAAGAAGTAAAGAAATGGTAAATAAGGCTTTGCCTCTGGACTGCCTTTTCCTTCCAGTGCAGGAGACAAAGAAAGAGCCAGAGGGTTTAGCAATACCATCAAAAATGAAAGTTTGGGGAGAGGGGTGAAATAAAACGGTAAACTTGCCCTTAAACATTGAAAGGAGATCACAAATCTTTCAGTCATTATTCAAGAGATGCTTATAGAAGGTTATGTTTTAGGATCATTAAAGTTAAGTTTTTTGTTTGTTTTTGGTTTTTTAATGAAGGAACCTTACTGCCTAATGGGGCCATAGGGCTCATCCAGCCCAATTCCCCACATTTGCAAAGGGGGAAGTGAAACTTTAAACGTCAAGTAACTACCTGCAGGGTTGGCAGATTTAGTATATAAGGCTACAGAACTCCCAGTCAAATTTTAATTTCAGATAAACAATGAACAATTTTTTAATAAACATGTTCCATGCAACATTTGGGACATGCCTATACTAAAAAATTATTTGTTGTTCATTTGAAATTCTAATTTAACTGGATGTTTTGTATTTTATGTGGCAACCCTACCTCCCTCTGCAAAAGTTACTTGGCCAGTTAGTTAAGACCCCGGACTGGAATCCTGGCCTTCTGTCTTTCAGGTGACAGGAATGTCTGAGCATGTTCTGAGAATCATTGCTACACCTGCTAATACATCATTGCTGTTTATAGACTCTTATGCGATCATAAGTGAATTAATACACAAAGAGACAAATTCCATTAAGTGGGCTATTTACCTTTTTAATCTTGACATATCCAGCATTGGTGTGGGGATCTGTGTCAACCTCCAATAGCCCCTCACTGTCACCCTCTGTAATATGATACAAGATGTTAGAACTTCCAGTAAATGGCTCATCACCATCGGTGGCCTGGATGATTAAGATGGTGGATCCAACCTTTGTGTCTTCAGCAAGAGTCAGGTTTCCATACTAAAGAAGAAACAGGGAAGGAAACAATGAGAATGTCTAATGTCATCATACTAAATTATCAAAGGACAAACTTGTCTCTTTGCTTCCAGAATGGAAATAAGCCATGGTTTGCATCAGTATTTATCAAGCATGTTTTTCCTATTGATGAATATGTTGCACTTCATGTGACGTACATTGGATGAATATCCATTTGCCAAAGGAATACAACATCTCAGAGAGCTATTGTCCGGATTCTAAAACAGATTTCCCTTTCTCACATCCAATACACGTAGGGGATTATTATTAATAGTAATGACGTAAATAAATAGCCAGTATGTTTTGAGTACCTACGTGGCAGACACTTTTTACATACATTATTTTAATTAATTCTTAAGTCAACTAAGGCGTAGTAGTGAAACACTTGAACTCTGGAGTCAAACAGCTTGGGTATGAATCCTAGGCTGGCTGTTTATTAGTTAGAGACTTGAAGCAAGTTACTTCTTTAAGTCTCAGTTTTGTCATCTATCTAGTTGAGAGAATAATGATAATAGAATCTACTTAATGTTTGCTATGAAGATTAAGAGAGATAACGCATGTAAAACCCCTGAATGTCTTGCACATAGTAAGTGCTCAATAAAGATAAGCAAAACAATACTCTCTACAGAATAGCTATATTACCACGTCCATTTTACCAGGCCTGGAGACGATAAACCCACCCAGGATCACACAACAAATGAGTCACAGAATTGGGATTCAAACGCAGGTTTGTTTGAACCCCAAAGCCTGTGCTCTTAGTCACTGGCCTGAACCATCTCCCACTACTCACTGAACACCCCCCAGGTCATCTCTCTTGGCATTAGGATCTTAAAGATGGTAACAGGTGGGGTCCAGGAGAGGACCATGGCAATGACAGAAGCAGGCTCACTTTGCACCTATAGTCCAGATTTGATCTCTAAGCTCTGAGACCACCCTCCCCTCAGGAAACCCCAAACCAGGATTCTTACCCTCAACCAAAGAAACACCATTTAGATGTAATGCCAGAAAATCACGACACAAGGAAAGAATAAAAGACCCAGGAGAATGGAGGCTGAGAAGAAATGTATTCTATTTCATGCTTGCTTAACCTCAGCAGCTATTAGACAAGTTACTTTCAGTCATACTCTTACTGCCCCAAGCCCCCTCGTTAATCAATGCCCTTTCTTTGTCGTGACCTTGTCCCTGTTTTGATTTATGAATGTCATCCCGGGGCTCTGGTCCACCTCACAACTGACTTCAAACCTGACATAATAATTGAGTTAAATGGGCTTCTCTCAGCTTCAGAATAAACAAATAGAGACATCCCTTTTAAGAGAAGCAGTGATAAAGCTACCACCAAGTCTAAAGCCCACATCAATAATCAGTAAACAGTAATTTGCATTTTTCTTGAAGTTCGAAACGGATCTTCTCCTCAGACTCTTTCTTACAAATGTCTTGAGCACAGTTTTCTGTGGTTTAATCTAGAGGCTTGTTTTTTCTTTTCTTTGTTTCTTACCCAAAATGAGTTTAAATCGTCAATATCCCAAATATTGAGCTTTTTTTTTTTTTTTTTACCAAAAATGCTTATTTGAAACCTACCAGTAGTCTATTTATTGTCCTAAATACACACAAAATTTATAGCAGTAAACCGAAAGGGGCCATACAAATCCTTTCAATTTGACAAAGATTGTAGTTGTAGCTTTTAAGCAGTCCTTGGTATAAATGAGCTGTTGGCTGAAGTTTATAAACAGACATTCCCAGATACTGTAACAAACGAATGTTATTGTTCCCGGAAGATTTGCACTGATGATGCGTCTGGGCTTGTGCTACTGGTACGTTTACCAAGGCTACCTGTGAAGCTTGGTATTTTTCCTCATTACTGTCTGTGTCTTTGTCAAGCAGTAAGTAGGGATCAGGTAATATGAAAAAGTAAGAAAAAAATAAAAGGTGGCAACTACTCACGTTTGATTTTTCAAAGATGGGGATCTCATCATTGATATCAATAACATTGATTTCCACAGAACACAGGGTTTTGAAATCTGAAAATCAAAGTCATAGAAACTTTCACTGCAAATTATGCATTAAAATTAGAAGCCTGCAAGAAAAGCATTAGCAAGTGAGGTGACAGTCATAGCCACCGTTTTGCAGTTGATAAGGAATTTACGTGAAGAGAGGATTCCCGCCCCCCCACCACCACCACCACCTGCACACACAAGCATGAGGCAGGTCATGAATGGGTGGTAGTTTCCGGACTCCACTGCCCTCTGCCTGCCCCCAACCTAGGTAAGGGATGTTCCTGAGCAGGACAGTCCCTTTGTTGTGCAACAGCCTTTCCTTTTCTGACTACTGAAACTTACGTAGCCTTCAAAGCCCAGTGCAAATCCGTCCTTCCAGAAAGCCTTCCCTGACCATCTCGGCCTACTATTCTTCCTTCTCTGAACACTTCTGGCACATACAGCCCTACAGCTCCTCTGCCTGGCATTATGGCAGGGAGGTTTAGGAGCACCTGCTCCCTCTCCTCCAAGTGAGGGAGGAAGTACTACAAGTAGTCCTGCCCAAAGGACCTGGATTACCACCCCACTCACGGGACAGTGGAAAATAGCACATCCTGAAGACTCGGAGGGGTTGGGTTTGACAATTTAAAGACCAGATCAGAGGCAGCAGGTTCAATCTAGGTCCAAGGTAAGTATGGAGTGGGATGGGGATGTGGGTGTTGGGAATATTGGATGAGGGCAACAGGACAGGTATCCAGGACAAGAAGCAGAAGGGAAGAGAAAATACAAATGGCAAGTTCTTTCTTGGGGTGGTCATTATTCTAACCATGATATACTATGTCCTATAATGCAGGGCAGAGGAGCTGTAAAGCTGTATGTGTTGGAAGTGTTCACAGAAGGAAAGACAGTAGGCCGAGATGGTCAGGGAAGGCTTTCTGGAAGGATGGATTTGCATTGGGCTTTGAAGGCTACGTAAGTTTCACTAGTCTGTGTTCTGGAATGCTAATGTTTGCATTCTGCCTTTGCCACTTATCAGATGTGTGAGAACTTGGTTTGCCACTTCATGTCTCTGTGCCTCAGCCATCTTATCTATAAATGTGGATAGGAATAGAACCTAGGTTCTTGTCGTAATACAAATTGTTAGTACTTTGTATGTACCAGGCACTGTATTAAGTGCTTTATCAGCATTAATCATCACAATAACTTCATGATGTAGATACTATCATTTCCCATTTTACAAATGAGGAAATCAGGGCACAGAGAAGTTAGATAACCTGATGAAAGCGACACAACTAATCAGTGTCTGAGCCAGGGTTCAACCCCATGTGCTGGCTATTCTCCCTTTACCCTCCAGATCTGCTCTCCACCCTGCTCTGTACCAGGGAGGCTGACCTTCCGCACTGCAGCAACAGATGTCCTTGCCTCTGGGTAACAGCTGCGTTCTGCCACTGGGAGGCAGCAGTAGGAGATGGGAGGGGGGCAGGAGGAGAGAGTTCAGGGACGATGTTCCTTTTACCTCCTTCCCTCCTCTCTCTCCTCCCTGCCAGCAGCTATCTTCTATCACTGGCTGCTGTCTCAGGTCTTGCTAGTTCAGGGTATGCTCCCCACTCCTTTCTCTTTAGGCCTTGAGGTCATAAAGCCCCTCTCCTCCTTTGTGCTTCACACCTTCTGTTGGTTTCCTTTAACCCTACCTACAACTTTTACAAATAATCCCTTCATTAAACTCTTCAGTTACCACTTTGGAAGGGGCCATCTGTTTCCCACTGGGATCCTGATGAATATAGCCAGGTAGTCCAACTTCAGAGCCTGTGCTCAATACACAGAACATAATGCCAGGCACATAACCGAATCATGCTCTAATTATGAGTAAACGAATGTTGATTAAGGCTGGGGCTAGTCCCAGGACATTTGTGGACAACACAAGTGGCTGAAGATTGGGGTGGTCCTAGGATCTGAACTCACTGGCTCACTGGTCTGCATGAGTCTCATTTGGGCCAGCAGTGGGTCTCTTTAGTAACAGGTTCTCCCTGGTTTTATGTGAAACTATGTTAATTACAGCCTTAGCTCTTGTTTTCTGTAGTGCGTAATTGAAGTTAATGTCATCAGAACACACACAGACATTATATGTTATTTATTTACAAATATATTTTATCATCTGGCCTGTATTTTATATAGATGTACTCATGCACATAAACAATTTATATTCTGATTTCCATTTATGCTCTAACAGCTTCATACTGCTTCAGTTCCCCATGCCTTTGCATGTGGAGTGCCCACTCCAACGTAGGCCATTTTGTAACTTGTCATAGTCAACTTTCAAAATCCAGCTCGATGCTACTTCAATGACAAAAAGCCTTACTTGCTCTCTCCCTCCACGAAGTCATTCATTCCCTTCCATGGGCTACCTCATACAGGTTTCTTGCAATTTGTTTAGTCTCATGTTCATCTCCTCTACCAGAATGAGTGTCCTTTGAGGACAGACACTGGGTCTTATTCATCTCTGCATCCCCAATATCTTGCATGATGCCTCAGACAAGGCTCAATAAGTGTTTGCTGAAAGAATGAATGGCTGATCGTGTGACACTGTTAGTTCATCATGGGTGGGGATGATTCATTACAATCCCTTCTGTTGTACCTCTTAACATAATACTGGACAAATATTAGGCCTTCAATATCTGCCTAACTACTAGGTTTCAAACTTTCTGCATTGTGGGCCTGCGAGACCCCAGTTTTCCCCAATATATTAATGTCTGTAATGGAGAGAAATCTCTAACACAGGGTGAAATAATGTTCTTTTCTCCTCCATATAGCTATGTAATATGGGCCTCCTAGCATGATAATTACTGACTTGTTTGGTAACCTAACAGAGCCCAAGGAACCCTAGCGGTACAGTGGTTAAGTGCTTGGCTGAGGTGGTTAGAACCCACCAGCCTCTCCATGGGATAAAGATGTGGCAGCCTGCTTCTGTAAAGATTTACAGCCTTGGAAACACTATGGGGCAGTTCTCTTCTGTCCTACAGGGTCTCTGTGAGTTGGAAGTGACTACATGGCAACAGATTTGGTAACCTAAGATTCAGTGCTAGCTAATCCAAGGATGAATTCTTTATCTTCTAGGAGGTAACTGAGCATAAGTCATCTCTGAGTAAGTGCATTTTTGTCTATCTGTTCATGTGTGTGTTTGCCTGACAATGCATAGTTTTCATCAAGCTCTCAAAGACTATTGTGACCCACAAAGAGTAATAACCACTTGCTCTGAAATTTTCTGAGGAGGGAGGAATGTCTCCTGATATTGCCAAATGGTCACATAGAAGCTATAGGAGGAGATAGAGCTTCCCAAGAGGTGCATTTCTCCTCCACTTTACTACAGTACAGCACTTCTGAGTCTGAAAGGGAGAGTTGGGAAAGACAATTAATTTTCTTGGTGATGATCATGGTGGCCGTAACAGTGTGCCTTGACGACCTCCAACATGAGGGATCTTACTTGATAGATGGTCCTGTTGCTACTCCTGAAATGCATCGCTGTATTTGCATCCAGCTCTCCCTTCCCATGGGCTGTTTCCAGCCAGTGACTGAGCACAGCAAGGATGCTAAGGTAGACCCATTCCTGGAGATACAGGGCTCCTCTGATGACTGACTGTGGCTCAAGGGCTTGCTGAGCCTTCCTTAGATTGCTCAGTGGTCTGGAATATTCCCACCCAACCTTTCTTCCTTCCCTGTCTCCCTCACTCAGGGTCAGGCTTGTATTGGGATCTGATGGCTCTTCCAGCTTTCCTTGTCTCCCTCTCCATTTTCTCTCACAGCCACTTCCCCTAATAAAATCCTTGCATATTTAATCCCCTCCTGGCACCGTCTTCTTGGGAGGCTGGGACCAACACAACAATGTTGCCTGAGCTGCAACTCTGGCCTTTATAATGTTGAACCAGCATTGCTTCTCTGCTGTGTTGTGTTTTGCATAGGAACCAAAGTACTGTCAAATGACATCCTCCTGTAATATACCCAGGAATTACAGCAGCCTAACAAATCAAAACTAAAAGGAAAACAATTCTTTTTACTCATGACAGCGTGTGTGGTACTAACCTTTGTCGGACACCTCTACTGTTAAGTTGTACTGGGGAGCGTATTGCTTCTTCAAGGATTGCTGAGCTAACTGGAATACTCCACCATAGGTTTGAACCAGGAAGAGTCCATCTTTAGGAAACTTGGGGATTTGCTCCACAATTTTGTACCGTAAAATACTGTTGGCAGTGCCTTCTTGATCCATATCATGGGCAATAAAAGTCCCAATATTGCTACCTGTGGAAAGTAAAGAAGAAAATCCATTCATTACAGGGTCTATTCAACCTATTAAAAATGGTTTCACCGGATAAGCAGTTTCCTAGAAAATACTGTAAGTAACTTTGGGTAGCAGACCAAGGTCCTCAGATATATTTAGTTTCTTCTAACCCTTTCCATGGCACATTGTGTGGTTAAATAAGGAGAAACCAGCTTCCTAATGTTCCTTCTATGCGACTTTAAGGAACAATCACAGAGACTGACTCCACCCAAAAGATGATACGGGGCAAAGAACAGGTGTGCAACCGTTCTGCCGTGCTGCAGTTTATGGTCCTAAGTATTTTATTCCTGTGAGTCTCCCAGTCCAAGGAGTCCCAAGAGAAGTCAGTGGCTATGACTCAGTGCTCCAGCCAGCTCTGGGTGAACTTCAATAGGTTCCAGATCATCTTGCTCTGTGAAATGGGAATTGTAGGTCTCTTTACTCTGTCCTATAGGGCCGCTGTGAGTCGGAATCGACTTGACAGCAATGGGTTGGGTTTGGTTTGGATTGGGTTTTACTTGCAGCAAGAATCCTACCTTGGAGCTAAAACTTCAATACATCCCATTTGTGGAGTTAAGTTACCCCACATATCTATTTGCATCCACTGATTTACATAAAAATTATGAGTTTGGGGGGGTTTTGAGGGAAAAAGGAAGTACCTATGATATGTCTATAATGGAGCTCGACACATACAGATGCGTGTCATGGCCTGGGAGCCATCATGAGCAATAGGAGCAGAGAAGAGTGTAATAGCAGCTGCTATTTCTGAATCTTCTGTGACCAAGTTACCTTTGTAGCATGCATGTGCCCTCGTGAGGAAACTGTCTATGTAGGGGGATGAAAGAGTGTCTTACTGAATTCTGTGATCCTTTGGTATAGGAGCAGCCCTGCTTTAGAATCGTCTGCTCCCCAAATAAGTGAGCATAACACAGAGGACACTGTCCTCTTCTCACTCCAGGGGAAACTCGCAGCCATCAGAGGCACCATGAAGGTTGTTGACGTCAGCAGCCAGGAAAATTCTGGTCGGGGATGCCCCTCAGTGGGGAAGAGACTTGGTGAATCAGTCATGCCAGAAGTGACAGGAGTACCACGTCTCTGTGTGACAGAGACGAGGAACAAGTGGCAGCCCAGATTAATTCAGGGACATATACAGCATCTCTTGGGGACACCCAGAAATATTTTTGGGAGATAAGGCTTTTATAAGAGGCTCGATTTCCCATTGAACATGTAGGACTTGGTAAGAAACGGAATTCAAGAATTAATATTAGTATTGCTAAGACTTGGGGACATGAGTCCTACAAGATTCTAATATAAGAAACTGAACAGGAGAATGTAAACATATCAAGGAATAACTTGGTATTGTGTTGAGGTTTTATTTGCTTATGTTTCCATCTATGCGTGTCTTATCTACTCAGCTAGAAGTTAAGCCCTCATTGGGCAAGGACTTTGTCTTGTACCTCTTTTAGGCTAAGTACGTAGAATATACTCTATTAATATATGTTGATTTATAAGAATTCTTGAGCCATTAAGTTCACCATGCAAGACTTCGTGAAATACTTTTACAGAGAAAAATCATATTTTTAAAAAGGCAAATAGCATACTGAGCCCCTGGAATAATCCATTCTAACAACAATGGCTTCCTCACCACCTACAGAAACTAGCACTGTCCTCTTCCCAAATGAGGTAGGCAGCGTCTAAAATGGCTCGCAATGATCCCCTCTTCTCCATGTTCACATGTTTGCATCACCCCATCATTTTAAGCGTGGGCTTGGCCTAGTGACTTGTTTCTAATGAATGTTGTTGTTAGGTGCCATCAAGTCAGTTCCAACTCATAGCAATCCTATGTACAACAGAATGAAACACTGCCCAGTCCTGCGCCATCCTCACAATTGTTGCTATGCTGGAGCCTATTGTTGCAGCCACTTTGTCAATCCATCTCATTGAGGGGCTTCCTCTTTTTCGCTGACCCTCTACTTTACCAAGCATGAATGGAATATGGCAAAAGTGATAGGATGTCACTTTGCCAATTAGGTTATATAAAGCCTGACTTCTATCTAGCTCGTCATCTTTCTCTCTCTCAGCTCTCACTCTGAATCAGAGGCACCTAGCTAACCATGCCCAGATTCCTGACTCACAGAAACTGGGAGAGAATAAATGTTTGTTGCTTTAAGATGCTAGGGGCATTTGGGGGCAGTATTTTACGCAGCAATAGAATACTAACACATTCTAAATGTTAGGCCCAATGCAAAAAAGAATTGAGGTATCATCTAGAAATGTCTTCAAAGTTATTCAGCCTTTATTCAGCATCACAGACAGAAAACCCCAGATTTCCAAAAAGGGTGATACCACAAGTGTTTTTTGGCCATTCATTCCATTGGTACACGATTGTGATTGTTAAAAGATTCTTCCTTATAATTAACTAAAATCCTCCAAGCTGTCATTGAACTCTCTGTAGTGGCAAGAGACAGAATAAATAAAACAGGGAGGACATGAGCAGAACACACTTACAAGTAGCCTATGTGTGGCTCCTGACTGTTAGAAGGAAAAGACTGAGCATAGAGCAAGCAAACCACTGGAGCTGCACCCACCAAGCAGCCCAGGACGGCATCTACTGTGTCAAAGTGAATAGCAGAAGGAGTAGAGAGAGCAAAAGAAAATGATCAGGAATGACCACAAAGTATATAAGGATCTTGGAGGCAGGGCCAAGATGACAGAGTAGTCAGACGCTTCTGGTGGTCCCTCTTACAACAAAGACCCCCCCAAAAAGAACACAAATGAACTGATTACATGTGACAATCTAGGAGCCCTGAACATCAAAGACAAACTTGAGAAATCAGACTGAGCAGCAGGGGGAGGGAGAGAAAGTTCAGAGGCAGTGAGGAGTTGCCAGACCTGACCCCGTGGGAGCCAGCACCCTTCTGGCCGGATTGGCTGGCATGTGGGGTGAGGCAAGCAGTGGCTCTCAGGAGGCATTTTCCACATCAGTAGAGACCCAGGGGCAGAGAGTCTACTCTGGCCTCTAGAACCAGTGAAAAGCGGCACTCAGTTGGCAAAAGATAAGTACATGTGTCTGACCTACCACGCGGATCAAAAAACACCCCATTTGGGAAAAATCTCTCTCCCATTTACCTGCCCCCTCCCTTCTCTGCTCCAGGTCCTGGGCTGGCTTCAGCAATTGCTGCATCCCCTGGGCTGGAAGTAGGATCCATCACATGCCCTGAACGATTCTCCTGGCCTTGGGGAGGGAACAAATTAACAAACAGGGAAAAATAATCTGGTTCCCCTAAGCCAGGAACTCAGGGTAGGCACAGCCCCTTTGCCTAGGCACAGACATAAGGGGTCCATGAACTTTGAATGCCTTTCATCCCTGCATAGACCTATGTGGGCCCATTTCAACAGCTTAGGCCCTCACTAGCACAGTTCAACAGAGTAAATACCTGAAGGCTAACTTCAATTGTATCAGCTATATGGTGAAGTGCCAGGTTTGTGATATTTGACACTGTTTTGCCATTGAGCAGGGTCCTCACCTACCCACATCAGGTGCCTGAGGACTGGTGGCTCCACCCACGCCACCTAGCCACCCAGGACAGGGGTCTAAGAATAAGTGGTGCCTCCCAGTCCTTATAGCCAACAGCATTGGCTGATCATAGTCCAGCTGCAAAAACCACCTGCTTACACACTCTAGGGAACAGGGACACGCTTTCATCCCAGATACTCAGGAGCAGCTGTCAACACACTGTCTTGCTTAGCGCGTGACCCTGTACTGCAGCCAGATACCTGTGCCTACACCAATCACCCCTGCTCGTCTAGGACTGTAGGTGAGAGCCTGTGCCACACACTTGGTGACCAACTAGCTGGACATCTGAGCTGAATCCATACAAGAGAAAAGTAAACAGACTCCTGGGCTCACATACCCAGTATCAGATCCAACAACCTGGTGACAGGACGTAAGAGCTTCAAAGGTGCCAATAATCAAACTAGCTCACATGAGCAGCCTATATAGGCATATCAAAACAAGAAGCTAGGACACAGTAAGCAAACATAAAATAAATAAATATAATAACTCATCAATGGCTCGGAGACAGCAGTCAATATCAAATCACATAAAGAGGCAGATCATGAGGGCTTCAGCAAGCTCCCAAAACAAAGAATCAAGAAATTTTCTGGAAGAAGAGAATTTCTTGGAATTACTGGAGGTATAATACAAAATATTAATACACAGAACTCTTCAGGAGATCGGGAAGGAGATCAGATAAAATGCAGAAGAAGCCAAGGAACACAAAGACAAAGCAATAGAGGAACTTAAGAAGATTATAGAAGAGCATAATGACAAATGTAACAGGCTGCAAGAATCCACAGAGAGACAGCAATCAGAAATTCGGAAGATTAACAATAAAATTTCAGAATTAGACAACTCAATAGAAAGTCATAGGAGCAGAGTTGAGGCAATGGAAGTCAGAATTAGTGAGACTAAAGGTAAAGCACTTGACACCAACTTATTTGAGGAAAAATCGGATAAGAGGATTTAAAAAAATGAAGAAACCCTAAGAATTATGTGGGACTCTATCAAGAGGAATAACCTATGAGTGACTGGAGTACCAGAACAGGTGGGGATAACAGAAAATACAGAGAATTGTTGAAGATTTGTTGGCAGAAAACTTCCCTGATATCGTGAAAGATGACAAGATATCTATCCAAGATGCTCATCGAACCCCACATAAGGTAGATCCCAAAAGAAAGTCACCAAGACATTATTATAATTAAACTTGCTAAAACCAAAGATAAAGAGAGAATTTTAAGAGTGTCTAGGGATAAATGAAGAGTCATCTACAAAGGAGAGTCAATAAGAGTAAGCTCGGACTACTCAGCAGAAACCATGCAGGCAAGAAGGCAATGGGATGACATATATAAAGCCTTGAAGGAAAAAAATTGCCAGCCAAGAATTCTATATCCAGCAAAACTGTCTCTCAAATTGATGGTGAAATTAGGGCATTTCCAGATAAACAGAAGTTTAGGAAATTTGTAAAAACCAAACCAAAATTACAAGAAATACTAAAAGGAGTCCTCCGGTTAGAAAATCAATAACATCAGATAACAACCCATGACTGAAACACAGGACAGAGCAACCAGATATCAACCCCAATAGGGAAGTCACAAAAATAAATCAAAGCTAAAACACTGAAAACAGGGAAACAGAGACGTCAATATGTAAAGGATGACAACATTAAAACAAAAAAAAAGGGACTTAAAAAATGTAGATGTAGATTTTTCATATGGAGAGGAAGTCAAGGTGATATAAAG